CTTTCCTAAATAAATCCTTGAAAAGGAATTCTACCCTTTAGAGACTCAGTTCTCAGGGATATTATATCCTATTTCTGACTGTCTGGACTGTTGCTTAATCTCTGTAGGCCTCAGTAGGTCTGTCTCTCAAATGGGAGTGAATAATGCTCCGTGTTGCAGAGGGTAGCTCTGGGCTCAATGAACAATCTTTGGAGACACGGTCACACAAAAGTCCTTGAGAAATGGATTCCTCACATGGCCTACAGCATTCTCTTTCCCACTAAGTCTGCTACTCTCCAGCTCTCAACAGGAAATTGGTTTTATTTATAAGAATCACAATCCTAAACTGACCTTTGCTGGGCTACCCACCCACATTCCCTCCCTCATTTCCCTCTCCTCCCTAAGACACATCCTCTCTCCAAAGATTCCTCAGTGACCACAGAACAACTAGCATCGAAGAGCCATTGGAAAGTCAGATAGAGGAACACTACGAACACTGGAGGTTGTTTTCCAGATGGGGAAACTGAGGCCTGGAGAGCTCAGCAGTTTGCCCAAGGAAATGAAGCCTGTGGATCTCCAGGTTCCTGAGCCGCGACCTTCTTCATTGCACCATGACTGCCTTCATGTCTCAGCCAGGGCTCTGAACAGAACAAGCCATCCTCCCTCGGCGTGGGGGAAGTCTCTCTTCCCTGAATGACAGAAGCCTTTAAAGAAACATTTCCCGTTATTAAAGGGAATTGGAAGAAAACTGGCACAGTTTCCTCAGCTTTGAAGCTCCTTGGCCTTTCCTGGCCCTTTAATTGTGCTGGAAGCAGCCCAGCTCCCAGAGGTCCCACCCCTTCAGAAGAGAGGAAGGGCCCAAAGCAGAATTCCCCCACTCCGCTTGGCCTTTCAGCACCAAAAGTGACCTCTCAGTATTTCTGTTTCAGGCCATTTCATTGCCACATCATCCAGGGCTCCCACGCAACTTCAAAGTCAGGGAGCTCAGGGTCAAGTACAGGGAGCAAACCCTGAGCTTAGGATTTTAAGCACTACATTTGAGATAGTTTTTAAGCAATGTTCCCATAGCCTTTTAAAGCCTCTAATAGCTGAAGGTGATTACAGTAGATTTCTGCTGGTATTATAAGATTTGGTTAAGGAACATGATGTGAGCATGGGGGGGTATCCCTTTCACCCCACACTTGCTTTTAGTTTTCCAGGTGAAGAAAGCGTATGTAAAATTACAGACCTGTTGTGCTCTTTTGACATTTCATGTTTTGTAGGAAATTTGGTTTCCAACTTTGGCTGCTCAATGGAACCACCTGAAGACCTTTAAAAACTACAGTGCCCAAGCTGTACCCCAGACCAATTGCATCAGAATGTCTTGAGTGGGGCCTTTACATCCATATTTCTGAAAGCTCCACAGATGATTCCATGCACAGCAAAGGTTTAGAACTACTGCCTTAGGTAGAACTTCAACAGAAAAAAAACCTGAGTTCGTAGGCACTGAAAAATAACAAATACAGATGATCCCTGAAGGTAGCATGCCCATCTCTTTTAATTTGCTTTTCTTTTCCAGGCCTTCCCTGACCACAGGTCTCAGGATCCCCATACAAACTTTAACGTATTTACTGGATTGACTCTTTGCAGTTCATATCTGCCTCCAGCGCCCTAGAGCTAAGTCGGGGGACTGGATGATCAAATTCAGAAACAAAAGAACCACAGAGAAAGAATGATTAGACTTTCAACCAATTACTGTGATCTAAATTGAATCTGAATATCTCAACCAGGCCCATCTGTATCCAAGTGTGATGCAATTTCAGGAAGCTTCGGCATGGATGTTCCAAGCACAATCCACAGATAGTAGGTCAGTCACATTTGGCCCAGACTCACTCACCAGCTGGGAGAGCAGTCAGAACCAGAATGCGTGACCACACTGGGTGAGTTCAGCCAATGGGCTCACGCACAGCGATAAAAGGATGCTCTTATGAGAGTCATAAATATGTAAACACATAAGGATGGGAACCTTCTCAAAGCACCCTGTAGGACTTGGCCCCACATCCTGACATTTGCGAGAGTCTTACTGCTTATACAACGCCAAAGAGATTCACATACAAAACATAGCCACTTTACCATCGCTATTTACAGCAACTCTCATAAAAGTGCCATCTCTCTAGGAAGGGACTCCCACATACTCCCCGATCCCTTATTTTTGCTTGGGCGAGTCATGGCTATCTAGCAGAAATCTTGGAAGGGACTGGGAAGAAAGTCTGGAAGTGTCTCTGCATCAGGCATATCACATGGGTGATATTCCAACCACCCATCAACTCCAGACCTCACTTTACATCCTACAAGACAATGGAAAATCCACTCAGAGCCTAAAAATGATAGGCCATTTTTGGAAGATGTAGAATATATATAACAAGCAGGCTAAGGAACATGGAAAGACAATTTCTCCTACATGAACTGCTTTATAAGATTTGCAAATTAGAGAAAACACTTTGAGACTCTGAAGACAGCCATGAGGCATTTCCACCTACCTGGGAGAGGGAGAGCTCAAAATTGGAAATACAGAAACAGAATGAAGAGGCATTTAAATAACACATTTAAAAAGTGTCACACATAATAAGAATTTTTCTTTACAATTTTTACTTAGGCTCCGAGAGCCCAACTAAATAAACCTGTTTTTTCCATTTAACTTTGTTGTTTAAACCACTATTCCTCGTTATCCCAATAACCATTCAATCTCAACTTTAAGATGATGCCCCCAGTCTCCGACAAGCAAGAGGAGTCTACTGATTCTAGTCAGTTACACTGGTTAATTAGAGATGGGCTTCATTTTGCATTTTGCACAGACGAACTTCTCCATTTAAAGGGTGTTCAAAGCACAACTTATCTGCCTCTCAGGAGAATGGGGAATTCTATATCCTGGGGCTGGGGGATCCCCAAATTCCTCAGTGAAAAGTGTAGTAAACATATTAGCGGCATGACACCAGGGAGACCAAATAAAGATTTTTCTCATGAGTCAAACACTGGAATTTGAGTTGGATTAGCCTCTGAAACCTAGATAATTCTCAGGTTTACCCACTTATCACTCTGTGTCTGATTTACTGCAAAATGATGAGGCAGAGACATGTGTTACCAAAAAACATAAGCACCCTGACCTGGAAACTAAGTTCCCTTCAGCTGGCAAAATGCCCCTAACTGATCCTCTTCGCGGGTGGGAGGATTTTAAGCTCCTGAGAGAGAAAGATAACTAAGGAGACTTTTATCAGGTCAAGGGCCAAGTCAAAAGCTGTTAATACAAAAGCCTTCTTAGAATAACTGGACATTTAGAAAGAAGACCCCGAATGTGATTTGCCCTGATTTAGAGAGATGAATATGCTGATTTGAGAAAGTAGCTTGCAGCCTACAGCTAACACCCCCCCCCAATACACACACCCCAGCTTTGCAAGTCAGGGAGCTGGAAGGCACCCCAGAGGCCAACACTTCCTGTCAGGCTCAACTCAAGGCCTGAATTCCCAGAGAGGGTCCCTCCCAAAGGGCGGAGGGGCCCCGGTGGGGAGGGAGTGCAAACGGCCATGTTACAAGGAGCGGGACTGTGGTTTCCTCAAGTGTCTGAGACAGCGTAAGTGCGCATTCAGTCATTCAAGCACAAAACTGACGTGATCCCAGTAGAATTTGAGACGAAGAAAATCACTGGGTTAGAAATGCGAGAGAAGCTCCAGAGAGGGTTCACAGAAAGAAATCAAAGGTGGCCAACTCCTCTAACCTTGTTCCCCGCCCCTCTCCACCCCTCCCCACCCCCCGCCGGCTCCCTGCTGTCGGCAAAGACCCTTCCTGAATATGTGAAGCGCTGTCTGAGACTTGGATCTTTTGCCTTCACCAGTAACCAGGAGACCCAGATGAGAAAAAGCAATGGGAAAGTGAAAGACATGACTACTTTAGGGAGGCCGGTCCCAACAGGTCCCTTTATGTCAGTTTCAGGGATCAGAGCCCGCCGGGAGTGAGGTTTCTTGGGAATCTGAGCGTTCTCTTTTTATTACTCTCTCCCAGGGGAAAACAAATATAGAAGCAGCATTTCCTCTCGCAGGTTTGGCGGAGACCGGTCTAGCACAAGAGAAGGCAAGAGCCTTTTCCAAAGGGAAGGGGTCTGTGGGGGGGATGGGGGAGGGGGAGCGCCTGCAGCGTTCCGCTTAAGGGGCAACTCCCTGTACCCCCTTTTCAAAAGAACCGCAATCGAGTCGTGTAGACCAGCTCCGAGGCTCCGAGTGCGGGTGCTAAGCTGGGCACTGGGCGCACCCGGGACGGCCCGCCCACCAGAGTTTGGCGGAGATCCTGGCCCCAGCCAAACCCAAAGCTCGCCCAGCTGCGCACTGAGTTAAGCCCTCGGGCCGGGAGGCCTCCAGGAGCTCCACCTGCCGGGCACTCCATTCGGCCCCCAACCCTCGCATCCCTCCTTTCTTGGGGTGGGGTAGCGGAGAAGGGCTTGGAGATAAACGGTGACCCGAACGGCAGGACGTTTGGGGAGGCCCGAACTAGCCCGGGGAGGGTCTGCGCGCCAACTCCACTGCCCAAACGCTTTGCCCGGAGCAGGAAGCCCCTAGCCCAGCGGGCGACCGTGAGAAAGGACCCAACACCCCGCCCCTTTTCCCCCAGCAGCTCAGCACGGTTCCCACCTTCTTCTGGGCTTCCTTGGCCCCAGGCATCTTTACCGCGCGGCGGAACTGATGGTGGAGTGGGGTGCCGGGCGCACCCTCTCTCCTGCAACAGGTGAGAAGCCCCGCCACGCCCCCCACTGACGACCCCCTCCTTCCGCGCCCGGGAGGATCAAAGGGCTCGGGGCCGCGGCAGTCACCTAAGAGCCCACCCGCCCAGTCCGCGGCGCCGCTGTCGCCCCCTCTTCGGCCCAGGTCCGGGCTGGGTGGTGGCAGCGGGCTCTGCTTATCCCGAGTTCTGGCGAGACCAGTCCTAGCCCTGCCCTCGGCGTTGCTGGGCGAAAGGGAGTGGGTGTGCGCCGCGCGGGGAACCCGCGCCCTCACCTTTGTACCGCTCCATCGGGGCCACGGAGTGCGCTCCTCGCGGCTCGGCTTCGGCGCTGCTCTCCCGGCGCTCGGCTCAGCGCCCAGGCCGCCGCGCTGGCCCCTCCCCGTGAGGTCACGCTCGCGGCCGGACCTTCTGGCTGGGCCGCCGCGCCCCGGGTCCTCGGACCCGGCCCCCGCCGGGCACGCCCCCAGCGCCCCTGTCCCCGCGCTGGAGAACTCCGGCCCGCCGGGGCTGACAGTCGGCCCTTGAGTTGGTGCGCACCCGCGGCCCCACTCGCCGCCCCCGGTCGCCTTGGCACTCCCTTCACGTCTTGGCTCCGGGGGCGTCAAGAGGGAACGAGACTGGAACGTTCCCAAACCCTGGGGGAGGCTCCGGGAGGCCGGGCTTGGGTGGGCCTCCAAGATTGTTTTTCCCCCACCCCGCTGCAAACCCAATGCCTGGAGGAGGAGACTGAGGTGCAAGCTAGGAGCCTGAGACTTGCTTAGATCTAGCTCCTCGTGGTTGACTCCCGAGCCAGAGCTCTTTTGCCCTAGGCCTTCCTGGAGGGGCGACGAGGGCAGGGGGGGCGGGCAACCAAGCCTGCTCCGGGTTCTTTGGGGATTGCTCCCACTCTCTTGGAACCCTCTGGGCAGCCGCTGCCAATTGCGCACACTTTAGGGTGTGTGAAAACATCTGCTTGCTGACTTCTACCTGAATTTCCAGGGCCAACGACACAAGTCAGGGAGTGCCGTTTCCGGGGTGCCCAGTAAACCTGACCGCCTTGGAGGGGTGGCACCGGTTCCATAAGCAAGCTCGGTCATGGCTCTGAATCTCCACCCTGCACTGCCTCCATCCAGCAAATGCCACACTTACATCCTTTACCTTTTGCCACCGGTCTTTCCAGGCCCTTAACACGACCAAGTCTTCCCCATCCTCCCCCCAGAGATCTATGTGTTCTTTGAAACTATTCAGTTTTCATTTTAAAATCTCAGTCACGGTTTGTGCTGGGTGCCTGGTTTCTTAACAAGTTCCCCAGCTTCCTTGAAGGAATACTTAAGGAAGATTTGGCAGTGGTGGTTTTCTAAAAGACTTCTTAATTCTTCCTCGGAATCGCAGATTTTGTTTTGATGTTTGGAGACCTCCCCCAACCCCTCCCAGGAGCATGTAGAAATATTTTTCTTAGTTATACTAGCACCTAATGTGGATGAAGACCTCCCCACAAGCCAGGCACGGCGCTAAGGGCTGTGCATCACTGCCTTTAGTTTCCCCGATAACCCTGTGACATGGGTGTTATTATGATCTCTTTCATAGAGGTGAAGCAGCTACGGCTGGGCGCGGTGGCTCACACCTGTAATCCCAGCACTTTCGGAGGCTGAGGCAGGTGGATCACGAGGTCAGGAGTTCGAGACTAGCCTGGCCAACATGGTGAAAATCCATCTCTACATATATATACACACAAAAAAAAAATTAACTGGGCTTGGTAGCAGATGCCTGTAAACTCAGCTACTCGGAAGGCTGAGGCAGGAGAATCATTTGAACTTGGGAGGTGGTGGTTGCAGTAAGCTAAAATCGCAGGACTGCACTCCAGTCTGGGTGACAGTGTGAGACTACGTCTCAAAAAAAAAAAAAAAAACAGAGGTTAAGCAATTTGCTCAAAGTCACATAGCTAGAAAAGAGAGGAGCAGGTGTTAAACTTGGATCTGTCTGCTTCCAAATGTGTATTTTTATTTTTATTTTTTTAGAGACAAGGTCTTGGTTTGTTGCCCAGGTTGGAGTGCAGTGGCACCATCTTGGCTCACTGCGGCCTCAGACTCCTGGGCTTCACACTGATCATTAGAGAAATGCAAATCAAAACTGCAATGATATACCATACCATCAGAATGGCTATTATTAAAAAGTCAAAAAATAACAGATGCTGGCGAGGTTGCAGAGAAAATGGAATGCTTATACACTGCTGGTGGGAATGTAAATTAGTTCAACTATTGTGAAAAGTACTTTGGTGATTTCTCAAACAACTTAAAACAGAACTACCATTCAACCCTGAAATCCCATTATTGGGTATATACCCAAAGGAGTATAAGTGGTTCTACCATAAAGACATATGCACATGTATGTTTATTGCAGCACTACTCAAATAGCAAAGATATGGAATCAACCTAAATGGTCATCAACAGTAGACTGGATACATAAAATATGGTATATACACACCACGGAATACTATGCAGTCATAAAAAAGAACAAGACCATGTCCTTTGCAGCAAAGATGTGAAGGAACTGGAACAAGACCATGCCTTTGCAGCAAGGAGGAATGGAGCTGGGGGTCATTTTCATAAGCAAACTAATGCAGGAACAGATAACCAAATACCACATGTTCTCACTTTTAAGTGGGATCTAAATACTGAGTACACATGGACACACAAAAGGGAACAACAGACACCACAGCCTACTTGAGGGTGGAGGGTGAGAGGAGAGTGGGGATTGAAAAATAACCTATTGGGCACTATGCTTATTACCTGCGTGATGAAATAATCTCCACACTGAACCCCTGTGACACACAATTTACCTATATAACAAATTTGCACATTTGCCCCGAATCTAAAATAAAAGTTTAAAAAGAAAAAGAAGAATCATCTGAAAATTAAATACTTAAAAAAATATATTTAAGGTAAAACCGGAATGTGTTGTGTTGAATGAAATAAAATGTTTAGGCCAGGTGCGGGGCTCCTACGTGTATTTCCCAGCACTTTGGGAGGCCAAGGCGGGCAGATCACCTGAGGTCAGGAGTTCGGGACCAGCCTGGCCAACATGAAGAAACCCAGTCTCTACTAAAAATACAAAAATTAGCCGAGAGTGGTGGTGCACACCTGTAATCCCAGCTACTTGGGAGGCTGAAGCATGAGAATTGCTTGAACCGAGGAACTGGAGGTTGTAGTGAGCTGAGATCACGCCACTGCACTCTAGCCTGGGTAACAGAGCAAGACTGTCTCAAAAATAAATAAATAAAATTAAAAATAAAACAATTAAAATGAAATAAAACATTACAAACAAACAACAATTAAAAAACCTCCTGGGCTTCAGTAATCCTCCCACCTCAGCCTCCCAGGTAGCTAGGACTACAGGCACATACCATGACACTCGCCTAGTTTTGTTGTTGCTGTTGTTAATTTACTGTTTATAAAGACGGGGCCTCCAACTCCTGGGCTCAAGTGATCCTTCCACCTAGGCCTCCCAAAGCGCTTGGATTATATGTGTGAGCCACTGTGCCAGCCCCAAATATTCACAAAACTTCTTGGCACTCATAGGAAGTGCCAGGCTGTTTGTTACCATCTCACAGGGCACACAGACAAGTGAACAACGCAGCACAGTGAGGTAGATGCTCTGATAAGACAGAAACACAAGGGATTCTGGAAACCCACAAGAGGACACTGAACCAGCAACAGCTGCACTGAGTTCCGTGAATCTAAAGAGTGCAGTGAGCGGCTGAGTGTGATGAGTTCGAGTTAGTGAGGTGACAGGAAAGGTACAGTGAGTGCAGATTTCCAGGCAGAAAGGACAGTGGGAACAGAGGCAGGGAGATGAGCCCTTTCAGGATCAAACAGTTCTGTTGCTGCAGCAGAAAGGAAGAAGCCAGGAGTGAAGCACGTGAGGCTGGAAAGGTGGGTGCAGCACTGCTCCAGTGCCCAGGGTGCTGAGCTGAGGTGATTAGACAGCACTGCAGAGTGTGGGTGCCCCGGGGGTCCCCCGGGGGCTGAGAGCAGGGGGAGCACAGGAGGCAGTTGTAGCCCCCAGGTGAGAAGCTATGGGGTGGTGGAAAAGCCGATGGGGAAGAGAGGACTGATGGCAGCAACCTTCTGGAAGTTGTGCCTGAGCAGAGCACGAGGGAGGAGAAGAGCTGAGGCCGACTCTGCAGTTTCCAGCAATTTGAGTGGTTAGGTGAACAGCATCACGCCGCCCTCAGATGTGGGGCCTGCTGTGTGCCAGGTGTCGCTAGGAGCTGCAGAGCATGAGGAGGGCAAGCAAGTCCTGCTCTCTTGGGCTGCTTTGCGGGTGGCAATGGGGACAATGAGCAGGAAAAGAGTCACACTCAGAAGTGGCTGCAGGTTGGGGAGTTGAAGGGAGAAAGTGAAAGGCCTATGGTGCCCCCAGGGGAGTTAGAACTCTGGGTCTGAGCCCTGGAGCTCAGCCCCTTACATCAGCCCCTCTTCCATGTGGGCCTGGCTCAGGAGGGCTCAAGAAATAGAAAAGTCGGAGGCTGTGGCAAGAATGCTGACGTCTCACGGATGAGAGGAGAGGGAACAGCGTTCCGCGGGCCTCCCTGCAAGCTGGAGCTGGAAAGTGGGGCAGGACAGAGGGTGTCTTGCCTTTTTGTCTTCTCTTTCTCCTTCCCTTCCTTTCCTCATATTGCAAATGGCCCAGCCTGGCATCCACCCTCTATTCTACCGGTGTCAAGAGACTATTAGCAATGGGTCCTGATTTCGTTTCAAATTCTCAGGGCGAATCTGATGGCGCAGCTCTTCCTTTTGAAGGAAGACTCAGGTCTCTAGTCCCAGCCCTGACTGTCAACTGGGGCCAGCAGGGCCAGGTTACAAGATCCCACTCAGCAGCTGTTTTGCTTGAGCTGACTCTCCCACCAGGGTGGCTAGGAGCAAATTGAGCTATCTCTGTTTCACAAATGAGGAAGCAAAGAAGTTAGGTGACTCACCCAAAGTCTCAAAGTAATCTCTCTTTCAAAACTAGGACTCAAAAATGAAGTTTCCTGACTCCAAATTCCTGGACTTTATCATGGCCCTTAGTTCAGGCTTTCCCAGGGCTCCAACTGGACAGTTTTACCCCGGGAAACCCTTTGATAGCCGTCTCCCCGAACACTTCCTGTAACTGCGGCCCCCTCCCTGCAGGCTGGGGACAGCTCAATATCTCCATTTCACCTGTCCTCTCTCCCCCTTTCCTCACTGGCCCCAGCCCCTTCAATTACCTCTTCCCTAAATCCTCTCTAGTTTATTGATGGAGACTTGGCAAATCCCAGAGGCTCTAGACAAACAAAAATCAATCAGAAATGTATGCAGAGTGAATTTAAAATGGGAATTCACTGCCTTTTCCAAGAACAAAACTGAAGAAAAAAAAAAAAACAAAAAAACCCCCCACCACTTAAAACCATCAATAGGAATCCTGGGCCTCTGGAAGCTCAGCACTGTCTCCTCCTCTCCAAAACCTGGGTGCAATTTAACCCCTTGTGGCTTTGCAACGTCCACACAGGGCTCATTCACATTCCGATTCAAATTCCTTGGGTTTTTGGCCTCAGGAATCAGATGATCTGGTTCCTAGCTCATGCTCAATCCTCTGGGG